CAACCTCAAGTAGGTGAAGTGTAGAAAATAGCCAATAAATGATTCTCTCTCATCATTGATATTTCTATCTCTCCCTACCTCTCTGAAATCAATAAAAATTATTAATATAGGGAGCAACCAAGATGACAGCATAGGTAAACACCTAAACTGCTGCCGGGGTGGGAGCAGCCAGACCCAGAACGGCAGTGGCCAAGCCCAGAGCATCCAGGCCGAGAGTGGCCAGGCTCGGAGCAGCCGGGCCTGGGGCAGCCGGGCCCAGAGCAGCCGGGTCGGGTGCGGCCAGGCCCGAGCAGCGGCTGCCAGGCTGGGAGCGGCCAGGCCCAGGGGAGCAGCCAGGTCGGGTGCGGCCAGGCCCGGAGCAGCGGCTGCCAGGCTGGGAGCGGCCAGGCCCGGGGGAGCAGCCGGGTCGGGAGCGGCCAGGCCCAGAGCAGCCGGGTCGGGAGCGGCCAGGCCCGGAGCAGCCGGGTCGGGTGCGGCCAGGCCTGGAGCAGCGGCTGCCAGGCTGGGAGCGGCCAGGCCCAGGGGAGCAGCCAGGTCGGGTGCGGCCAGGCCCGGAGCAGCGGCTGCCAGGCTGGGAGCGGCCAGGCCCAGGGGAGCAGCCGGGTCGGGAGCGGCCAGGCCCAGAGCAGCCGGGTCGGGAGCGGCCAGGCCCGGAGCAGCCGGGTCGGGTGCGGCCAGGCCTGGAGCAGCGGCTGCCAGGCTGGGAGCGGCCAGGCCCGGGGGAGCAGGCGGGTCGGGTGCGGCCAGGCCCGGAGCAGCGGCTGCCAGGCTGGGAGCGGCCAGGCCCGGAGCAGCAGCAGCCAAGTCCAGAGCAACTAGGTCGGGAGTGGCAGTGACCAGACCCGGAGCAGCTGGTTGTGGAACGAACCAGAGCAACAGAGGCCAGGCCCTGAGCAGCCAGGCCCAGAACAGCTCGCTCCTTGCCGGCCCCTGCCCCACGGCTGCTTCTCAGACATGGCTGGAAACTTTCGTGGGAACTTGAGGGTCTGCTGAATCAAGTGATGAAGGCTTAGATCTGGATGTGTTGAGTTAGAATAAGGCTGGGGTGTTGATCTGTGAGTGCCTTGGGTGGGGCCTGGATGAGGCTAGTTGACCTATTTGGAAATGTCTTTTGTGTGAAGTGTATCATTGGGCATGTGGAGGTATTATTGATATGAGAAAATGCTAAGTAACTGAATTACTATCTGAAAAGGGATTTACTATCGGGGAAAGGGAGGGAAGAAGAGACTGAACATAAACTGTGCACCTATGGATGAGGACAATGGGGGTTGGGGAGGGGGCGGAGGGTGGGGTGGGAACCTGGTGGAGGGGGGAAGAAATGAGGAACCTTTGTAATAATATGAACAATAAAGATTGATTTAAATAAAAAATAAAAAAACAATTTCAAAACTACAACTAAAAGACAAAAACGGACATCATCCAGAACCATAGGAAGACTGGCTGAGTGGAAATTCTACAACTAGAAGGAAAGAGAAAATCACACTGAGACTCAGAGGAACTGCAGGAGGCAGAGGTACTGAGACACATACGTGGAAAGGACTGGCAACTGAGTGCACGGTTGACTTTCTCAAGTGGGAGGGAGACAAAAACTCCTGACTGCACTGAACTTCAGTTCTGGGCGAGACTCTAAGGACCCAGACTCATACGGGGTGAAATTGGACTGTTAGGAAAGAGAAAAGCACACTAAGACTCAGAGGAACTACAGAAGGCAGAGGTACCAAGGCACGTGCGCAGAGAGGGCAGGCAACTGAGTACACGGCTGGCTTTCTCAAGTGGGAGGGAGACAAAATATCTGGACTTCTCTGACCTCCAGTCCCGGGTGAGACTCTGGGGACCCAGACTCATACAGGGAGAAACTGGACTGTTTGGCAGAGGGCAGAACTCGAGGGTGGCTTTCTCTCAGATGTGCTTGCAGCGAATTCCATAGGACACTGAGACACAGGGGCCTATTAGGGCAGGGTTGATGAAGAACCAATGCTGTCTGCTCCACCCTGAGACTCTGTCCCCCATCCAAGCTGAGCACAGAAGCTTTTGCAAGTCTTGCCTCATAAGGGTGTCTCCAGAACAGAAGTTCTCCCAGTGTACACACAGCTGATCCTCACAGCCAATTGGCCTGGAGGTCAGTTTCTCCCAGTTGATATTATACCAACAACAATCAAGGCTTAACTACAACAAGACTGCGCACATAGCCCACAAAGGAATGAACCAAGAGTGTCCACCTCAGGTAACTGGTGAGCCTGAGCCACTGGGCTCTATAGGACACCTAGCACACAAAGCCACTCTATCAACTCAGGGAAGCAGCCTAAATGTGGAGACAAAGAAACAGATCACAAACAAAAGAAATGGAGGAAAGCAAATGACTTGATATAGAGCTCAAAACCATGGTTATAAGGCTTTTCAAGAATTTTCTAGAAAAGGCTGATAAATTTAGGAAGATCCTCAAGGATATGAAAAAGGACCAACTAGCCGAAGCCGGTTTGGCTCAGTGGTAGAGCGTCGGTCTGCGGACTGAAAGGTCCCAGGTTCGATTCCGGTCAAGGGCATGTACATTGGTTGCGGGCACATCCCCAGTGGGGGGGTGTGCAAGAGGCACCTGGTCGATGTTTCTCTCTCATCGACGTTTCTAGCTCTCTATCTCTCTCCCTTCCTCTCTGTAAAAAAATCAATAAAATATATTTAAAAAAAAAAAAAAAAAAAAAAAAAGAAAAAGGACCAACTAGAAATTAAACATACACTGACTAAAATAAAAATAAAAAATATTATACAAAGACCCAACAGCAAACTAGAGGAATGCAAGAATCAAGTCAAAGATTTGAAATACAAAGAAGCAAAAACCACTCAACTGGAAAAGCAAAAAGAAAAAGAACCCAAAAATTTGAAGATAGTGTAAGAAGCCTCTGGGACAACTTCAGGCATACCAACATCAAAATAATGGGGGTGCCAGAAAAAGAGAGAGTGCAAGATACAGAAAACCTATTTGAAGAAATAATGACTGAAAACTTCCCCCACCTGGTGAAAGAAATAGACTTACAAGTCCAGGAAGCGCACAGAACCCCAAATAAAAGAAATCCAAAGAGGACCACACCAAGACACATCATAATTAAAATGCCAAGGGCAAAAGACAAAGAGAGAATCTTGAAAGCAGCAAGAGAAAAACAGTTACCTACAAGGGAGCACCCATACGACTGTCAGCTGATTTCTCAACAGAAACTATGCAGGCCAGAAGGGAGTGGCAAGAAATATTCAAAGTGATGAACAGCAAGAACCTACAATCAAGATTACTCTACCCAGCAAAGTTATCATTGAGAATTGAAAGGCAGATAAAGAGCTTCTCAGATATGAAAAAGCTAAAGGAGTTCATCACCACCAAACCAGTATTATATGAAATGCTAAAAGGTATTCTTTAAGAAGAGGAAGAAGAAAAAGGTAAAGATAAAAATTATAAACAACAAATACATATCTATCAACAAGTGAATCTAAAAATCAAGTGAATTAGCCGAGACCGGTTTGGCTCAATGGATAGAGCGTCGGCTTGGGGACTGAAGGACCCGGGTTCGATTCCGGTCAAGGGCATGTACCTTGGTTGCGGGCATATCCCCAGTAGGGGGTGTGCAAGAGGCAGCTAATTGATGACTCTCTCTCATCGATGTTTCTAACTCTCTATCTCTCTCCCTTCCTCTCTGTACAAAATCAATAAAATATTTTTTTAAAAAAAATAAAAAAATAATAAAAATAAAAATCAAGTGAATTAAAAATCTGATGAACAGAATAAACTGATGAATATAATATTAATAGAATCAGGGGCATAGAAAATGAGTGGACTGACAATTCTCGGGGGGGGAGGGAGTGGTACCGAAATACACCTATGGATGAGGACAATGGGGGTGGTAAGGGCAGAGGGTGGGGTGGGAACTAGGTGAAGATGAGCTATGGGGGGAAAAAGAGGAACAATTGTAATAATCTGAACAATAAAGATTTATTAAATTAAAAAATTATGAATATATATTTAGATTCTTTGTAGTAGTCGGCAGAAATACATTTCAAACTGCTACATGTAATCAAAACTTTCCAAGGGATGATGGGGCTTCCGGCCTAGCTGTATCTGCATGTTCAAAGATAGAATCAACAGACTTAGTGTCTTTCCATCCTTTGAATGTTCTTTTCTCTGCACTGAGTTCACTTTCTAATAGCCAATGGGTCACCAGCAATTTCAGCTCCCCAACAAAAACAGAACTTCGTGGACCTCAGATAGCCAACAACAACAAAAACAGAAAATAATTCTCAGGGGACTGGCGTGGATCACATGGCCATCGCTGAGTCAAACACTGAGGCCGGGGATGGAATGGTCTAACCACTCAGGCTTCCACTGAGGGCCCAACAGGAAGAGGATTTGATAAACAAATATGGAGAAGAATGAAAGAGCAACGAATGTCCACCACTCTCCTCTTAGTTTCTTTCCAGAAGGAAACCTCCCTGCAGGACTGATGGGAATGATGAGGCCACCATACAGCTGCTGGGTGTATCCTAGTTTACAAGGTACTGCTTACATGGTCTCATTTAATCCTTATAGCCAGTCTGCTAGCCAAGTGCCACTACACAGATAAGGCAACTAAGGTTTAGGTGAGTTAAGGGGCTTGACTACATCAGAAAGCAGGTAAGCAGCCAACAGAGGGGCTGAGGAGAGGTGCCTGCAGGAAAAAAGAGGAAGAAAACACTGACCCCAGGCAACTTCCTCTGTGTGTCAAGCTCCCCCACGTCTCCACCACTTCCTCCCCTTCACCTCAGGGACAGCAGTTCAACCCACACCCCACCCCCCACCCCCACCTCTACCTCCTCTTTGCCCATGTCTCCCCACTTCTCTCCCTTATCATCGATCTTGCCTGCCTAGTTTCTGCCACACCTCTTTCCTGACCTTTGCTCCCTGCTCCAGGCTTGTTTTCCTCCCCTCTGGCCTGCGGGCTCACTTTCACTCACACTCACCGCCGTCCAGCCACAGCACCATGTGCACGGGAAAGTGTGCCCGCTTCGTGGGGCTCTCCCTCATCACCCTCTCCCTTGTCTGCATCATGGCCAACGTCCTCCTGCTGGTGCCTAATGGGAAGACCACTTGGACCAACACCAAGAACCTCAGCTTGGAAGTCTGGTTAATGTCTGGCATCTTCGGCGGGGGCCTGCTGGTGAGAAGGCTATGGAGGCAGGGGGCTGGGTGTCCCTCTAAGGGGTTCTAAACAGGAGGGGGAGGGAGAGGGAGAGAGGGAAACAGGCAGCTGCCTGGGAGGGACGGCAGTGGCACGGTGAGACCTAGAGCCCTCTGAATCAGGTCCCAAACACTGAGCACTGGGTAGAGTGCCGGAGGAGCCCCCGGGTCCTGAGCTGGATGGAAGGCTGAGGGGAACCAGAAGGAAAGGAGCCTCACAGCTCTAAGCAGCTTCCCTTCTGGGAAGAGGGAGTACGTCCTACCTGCCCCTCCTCATCCCACCGCGGGGCAGATGCTGGAGGCCACAAAGGGAGCAGCTGGTTGTGTGGGAGTTTATCAGGGCAAGATAATAATGGGTGGGGGTGGGGTGGGGTAGGGATGGGGTGCTTTGATAAAGTCTGGAGCCAGGAAGCAGTGTCATGGGTTAGTCATTCTATTTCTCATCTTGGTCTCATCCTCCCCAGTCTCCTTGTCTCTTCACTCTCACCCCCATTTCTTCTTCTTTTTAAACGGGAATTTTTTTAAAAGTATATTTTATTGATTTTTTTTTTTTTTTTTTTTTTTTTTTAAAGAAAGGAAGGGAGAGGGATAGAGAGTTAGAAACATCGATCAGCCGAAGCCGGTTTGGTTCAGTGGTGGAGCGTCGGTCTGCGGACTGAAGGGTCCTGAGTTCGATTCCGGTCAAGGGCATGTACATTGGTTGCGGGCATATCCCCGGTAGGGGGTGTGCAGGAGGCAGCTGGTCGGTGTTTCTCTCTCATCGATGTTTCTGGCTCTCTATCCCTCTCTCTTCCTCTCTGTAAAAAATCAATAAAATATATATATATTTTTTAAAAAAGAACATCGATCCGCTGCCTCTTGCACACCCCCTACCGGGGATGTACCTGCAACCAAGGTACATGCCCTTGACCGAAATCAAACCTGGTACCCTTGAGTCCTAGGCCTACGCTCTATCCACTGAGCCAAACCAGTGAGGGCCTCACCCCACATTTCTGAATGCCCCCTCTGTGCTCAGAGCTAAAAATAAACTCAAACCTAGGTCAGGGTGATGAAGAAGGTGCCCCCACATCTTCTCGGAGACTAGAATCTGTCAGGAAAAGTGGGAAACTGGGAGACACAGATTCCTTGGTCTTCCTACCTCCCACCCTGCAACTCTCTCCCCATTTAGAGGAACTTTGGAAGATCAAGCTAGTTTAATATCTTCATGGGATGAAGACCAAAGACCTACCCAGCACAGTTCCACACTTCTCAGGATAGCTGACTGATAAAATCCTCTGGGAGATGTCTCCCCTTTATCTCTTTCCTAGGTCCACCTCTTCTCTTTTATCCACCCATCTCCTCTTACCCCCTGGGGCTTTTGCTCCTACTCCCCATCCCACATGGATTCCTGGCTGTTGGACTCTTATCCCTCTGACTTCAGCGCTCCCTGAGATGTCACCTCAGATTGCCAAGGCATCATGCTCTTCTCCAGCTTAATCCACCCCAACTTCCCCACAATCTAACCAGCCTGTGTCAGGGGAGATCCCTGAGGATGCTCTCTCAGCGTGCTCATTCCCGCCGTCTTCCTCCCGCCTCCATGCCCAGAACCACTCTTGAGAAGGCTTTTTCAAGTCTATCCCCTGGTCCGTGCTACGCCATGAGGACACAGGCAAGGTCCCCGCTCTCCCTGAAGCTGGCATTCCCACTGGGGAGACACACGGTATCACAGAAGCAAGAATGTAAGCCTCATTACATCAGGCACATTACACTACCCTGGCTGCCGTGTGCCAGGTGCCTACCAGAGCCATGCACTTAAGGGGCACTTGAAAAAAAAAAAAGTAAATAGCCAGCACCGGTTTGGCTCAGTAGATAGAGCGTTGGCCTGCGGACTGAAGGGTCCCGGGTTCGATCCTGGTCAAGGGCATGTACCTTGGTTGTGGGCACATCCCCACTAGGGGGTGTGCAAGAGGCAGCTGGTCAATGATTCTCTCCCATCAATGTCCATCAACGTTTCAAACTTTCTATCCCTCTCTCTTCCTCTCTGTGAAAAATCAATAAAATATATTTTTAAAAATAAAAATAAATAAATAAAATGGGAAGACATAATTTTTTTTTAAAGTAAATAAGGGCAAGATGATTTCAGATGGGAGCAAGAAAACAAAGCAGGGTGCTGTCAATAGAGAATTCATAGAGTAAGATCAGGGGGCACTTATAGTGTTTTCAAGGAAGGTCTCAAGGAGGTGATGTCTGAACTAAGACACACACCCTCCCCACAAGAAAGAATCAGCCTGGCAGACAGAGTGACTGACAGTACAAAGCCCCAGGCAGGAACAGGCTCCCATACCTGAGGACCGGATAGGTGGCCAGAGCAGCTGAGGTTAAATGAGATGAGATCTTGGGTAGGCAGAGACCAGAGCAAACATATAGACTCCTGGAAGCCACAGGAGAAATCTGAATTTTACTCCAAGTACAACAGAAAATGACTGAAGGACATGTTACTTTTTATTTTTGAACTTTAAAAAAAATATATATATATATATATATATATATATATATATATTATTGATTTTTTACAGAGAGGAAAGGAAAGGGATAGAGAGTTAGAAACATCAATGAGAAAGAAACACCAATCAGCTGCCTCCTGCACACCTTCTACTAAGGATGTGCCCGAAACCAAGGTACATGCCCTTGATCGAAATAGAAACCTGGGACCCTTCAGTCCGCTTTATCCACTGAGTCAAACCGGCTAGGGTTATTTTTGAACTTTAAATATATATATTACTGATTTTTTATAGAGAGGAAGAGAGAGGGATAGAGAGCTAGAAACATCAATGAGAGAGAATCATTGATCAGCTGCCTCCTGCACATCCCCTACTGGGGATTTGCCTGCAACCAAGGTACATGCCCTTGACCAGAATCAAACCTGGGACCTTTCAGTCCACAAGTCGAAGCTCTATCCACTGAGCCAAACCGATTTCAGCAAAACTGTACTAGTATTCAGTGCAACTAGATATTACCAAAGAGTTTTCTGAAGCTCTTATACTAAGTCCATTTCCATTAGCAAAGTATTAGCGTTCTAGTTGCTCCATACCCTATTGGGCTTAAGAAGATGCCTCTAGCCTGGCTGATTTAGCTCAGTTGATTGGGTGTCGTCCAGTGCACCAGGAGGCTGATGGTTCAATTTCCCCATCAAGGGCATATGCCTGGGTTTTGGGCTCAATCTCCACTAGGGGGCATGCAGGAGGCAGCCAATCGATGTCGCACTTTCAAATCGATGTTTCTCCCCTTTTCCCTTCTGCACACTCCACTTTCTAAAAAAAAAAATTTTAAGTCAGCAAACTATACTTTTTAAATTTATAAATAAACTATTCTTTTAAAGAAAATCCCCCTTGCAGTTATGTGGAGAATGGAGAGTGGGAAGTCAATAGTGGAAGCAGGAAGTCCAGATGGAGGGATGAAGGTCACTGCAGTTGCTCAGGAGAGATGATAGTGGCTTGAACTAGGCTAGTGGCCATGGAGATGGAGAAAAGTAAGCAGATTAGAGCAATACACTCAGCATTTCCTCCTGTGTTTACAATTACTCATCTCTTCTCATTAAGATGTGTAGAGAATGAGACAGAGAAACTCAGATAATAAAAATAAACACTTTGACTGAAAAAGTAAGAATATCAAATAAATAGGTCATTCAAAACTGGTGAACCCAAAGGCAATTCTAGATGTCTGGATCCAGGAGCTTCCCAGTAAGTGACCTAACCAGAGAGGCTAAGCCAGAGGGCCAAAACTGGCCCTAGTGCCCTGGCCAGTGTTTCTCAGTGGTTAGAGCTTCGGTCCATGCACCAAAGAGTCAAGGTCTCTATTCCCAGTCAAGGGCACGTACCTGGGTTGCAGGTTCGATCCCTGGCTCTGTATGTGGGAAGCAACCAATTGATGCATCTCTCTCACGTTGATGTCTCTCTCCCTCTCCTTCTTTCCCTTCCACTCTCCAAACATCAGGTGAAGATTTAAAAAAAAAGAAAAAAAAAAGTGGCCCTTGACCTACCATAAACATAGAGGGGAGAGTGTCTGGGTAAGTTGATTCAACTCTGCAGGTGTTTCTGTGAGGTTGCAGTAGGTCTCATAACAGAACTATAACTCTCAGCCCCTCCCCTGGGGAAGAAGAAAATGCTGCTTTTTGTGTGATGTAGGCCAGACAAGGTTCACAGGGAGGCGGAGATCAAGATAGCTGTGGGATTCCAGAGAAGAGAGATAGGCAAAGAACCTGGCATGGTGCACAAAGATAAGGCTGGAGCCAAATCAAGGATCCTGGAATACCTTTTCTGCGTGGAGTTTTGATGAGCTTCTCTTTGAGGATGTGATCATACAAGACTAATAAAATTTTTAAAAATAATTTAAAAAAAAAAACACTTTAGCTTAATGATAGCATGTAGGAAGGGGTAGGGTGTGGCTTGGAGCAAGAGATAGGGAATCTTACCCTGACTGGTTTGGCTCAGTGGATAGAGCGTCAACCTGCAGACTGAAGGGTCCCAGGTCAAGGGCATGTACCTTGGTTTCGGTCACATCTCCAATAGGGACTGTGCAAGAGGCAGCTGATCCATGTTTCTAACTTTATCCCTCTCCCTGCCTCTCTGTAAAAAAATCAATAAAATATATATTTTTTTAAATCAATAAAATGTATTTTTTTAAAAAGAGATACGGAATCTAGTAGGCAGGCTGAAAGTATCATTTTCATGGGAGATGATTAGGGATTTTCGTTGAAGAAAAAGAAAGAACTGACAGAATCAAAAGCTGCTGAAGGGCCGAGACCGGTTTGGCTCAATGGATAGAGTGTTAGGTTGGGGACTGAAGGGTCCCGGGTTCGATTCTGATCAAGGGCATGTACCTTGGTTGTGGGCATATCCCCAGTAGGGGGTGTGCAAGAGGCAGCCGATCGATGACTCTCTCTCATCGATGTTTCTAATTCTCTATCTCTCTCCCTTCCTCTCTGTACAAAATCAATAAAATATATATAAAAAATAAAATAAAATAAAATTTATTAAAAAAAAAACCAAAAAGCTATTGAAGGAAAAATCAAGAGGACTTGAAGTCAGGCTGGATGTAAAGGATTCAAGTTTTTTCATCTCTCCTTCCTAATTTTCTTTGGGTGGAGGCAACCAAAAATTTTGGTGGCCTTAAGAAAAAAAAGATTCAAGGTTTCCAACCTGGGTAATCTGGAGGATAGCTCCAGTGATGGAGACAAGAAAGTCAATGGGCCGAAACCGGTTTGGCTCAGTGGATAGAGCGTTGGTCTGCGGACTGAGAGGTCCCGGGTTCGATTCTGGTCAAGGACATGTACATTGGTTGTGGGCACGTCCCCGGTAGGGGGTGTGCAAGAGGCTGCCAGTCGATGTTTCTCTCTCATCGACGTTTCTGGCTCTCTATCTCTCTCCCTTCCTCTCTGTAAAAAATCAATAAAATATATATTTTAAAAAAAAAAAAAAAAAAGAAGAAGAAGAATAAAGAAAAGTCAATGGGAGCCCAGTCAGCATAACTCAGTGGTTGAGCGTTGACCTATGGGGGTCATGGTTTTGATTCCCGGTCAGGGCACATGCCCAGATTGCAGGCTCCATCCTCAGTGTGAAGTGTGCAGGAGGCAGCTGATCAACGATTCTCTCTCATCATTCATGTTTCTATCTCTCTTTCCTCCTTTCCTCTCTAAAATCGATAAAATTATATTTTTTTAAAAAGAAAGTTGAGCCGGGACCAGTTTGGCTCAGTGGATAGAGTGTTGGCCTGCGGACTGAAAGTTTCCGGGTTCGATTCAGGTCAAGGGCATGTACCTTGGTTGCGGGCACACCCCCAGTGGGGAGGGGGGTGTGTGCAAGAGGCAGCTGATTGATGATTCTCTCTCATCGATGTTTCTAATTCTCTATCCCTCTCTCTTCCTCTCTGTGAAAAATCAATAAAATATATTTAAAAAAAAAAAAAAAAAGAAAGAAAGAAAGTTGATGGGAGATGAATGTGGGGAATAAATTGTGAGGGCAGTATGAGGCTGGCTGAATTTGAGCTAAAACCAAGTCATTCAAGTGAACATATATCCTTAGGCAGTTAGACTTGAATCTGGAGGCATGACTTAGGAGGTGACGATTGGCAGAGGAAGAAGCTGATGCCCTGAAGGAGATGGCTCCATGAGGAAGGCCACAGGGAGAAAGAAAGACAAAGAGGACCAGGGCTGTATCTTGGGGATTCTTATACTTCCCATTGGAGCCTCCACTAACATTCTCCTCCACCCTCCACCATCATGATCTCAGACACTCCAGCACCATCATTCCTTCCTGCTGTTGAGGGAACTTATAGTATTGAGCATTTACTCTGAGCTACTCTGACATCCAGTCAACTTATTATTATATTTCATTTAAAAAATCATGAGATCAGCCAAAACCGGTTTGGCTCAGTGGATAGAGCATCGACCTGGGGACTGAAAAGTCTCAGATTCGATTCCGGTCAAGGGCACGTACCTTGGCTGCAGGCACATTCCCAGTAGGGGGTGTGCAAGAGGCAGCTGATCGATGTTTCTCTCTCATGGGTGTTTCTAACTCTCTATCCCTCTCTCTTCCTCTCTGTAAAAAAAAAAAATCAATAAAATATATATTTTTTAAAAAATTATGAGATCAGCCAAAACCGGTTTGGCTCAGTGGTAGAGCGTCGGTCTGCGGACTGAAAGGTCCCGGGTTCGATTCCGGTCAAGGGCATGTACATTGGTTGCGGGCACATCCCCGGTAGAGGGTGTGCAAGAGGCAGCTGGTCGATGTTTCTTTCTCATCGACATTTCTAGCTCTCTAGCTCTCTCCCTTCCTCTTCTCTGTAAAATATCAATAAAATATGTTTTTTTTTAAAATCATGAGATCAGCCTCTGAGGTAGGTATTGCAGACCCATTTTACAGAGGACAAAACAGGGTCCTGAGAGATGAATCAATTCGTGGAGTGTGCAGTGCATTGGAGTTAGCAGTAAACCCAGGCCTCCTGGCTCCCATTCAATTGGGCACCGAACATGTGTCAAGATGTATTGGGAATATATTATCAGGCGCTACCCTCAATCTGGACACATAAATTATGATAAATGAAGGTGGAACCTGAGAGTGCCCCAGGAGAAGTACAGATAAGGCCTTCCTGCAGTCCAAAGGGCTGAGGAGGTCGCAGGCAGGTTCCAGGAGGAGGAAAGCACTGATGCCAATAAGGCCTTGAGGACCTGGAGGGGACCGGCTGTCACACGCCTTTGTTCCATAGGTTCTGTGTCCGGGAATCGCAGCCGTCCGGGCAGGGGGCAAGGGCTGTTGCGGTGCAGGCTGCTGTGGGAATCGCTGCAGGGTAAGATCCAGATTCAGAGGGGACCCAGGACGGGTCTCTGAACAGGTCTAGGAAGAGCCAACCTAAAGCCAAGCCCCCTCTTCCTAGCTGCACCACCTGCTCTGCAGTCCCAGAATCCACCTCTTCCCCGCCCTACACAAACCCCATTACCCTTATGCGCACCCCACTCCACCCCCCACCCCTGGCCAAATCTTAGACCTCAATGAGCCTTGACCGGAGGGGACTACAACCCCCATGAACCTCTGCAGCTGATGGCTCTTAGGGTTAACCTAACTCCTAGCCTTGGAGCTTGAAGGAAAATGTACGGGGGGAGCGGGGAGGAGCTAGGCAGGGCAAACTCACCTCTCCTTCCACTCGCTCCACGTCCAGATGCTGCGCTCGGTCTTCTGCTCGGCGTTAGGTTTGGTTGGAGCCATCTATTGCCTCGCAGTATCCGGATCCGGGCTCGAAAAGGGACCCAAATGTTTGAAGAACGGCGCTTGGGAATACCCTATCAAAGAGACCGAGTAAGGCTTGGCCTGTTGTTGCGCCCTCACTACCCCATCCTGCGCCTCTCTGCCGTGGAGAGCGCTTCCTCCTCTGGGGGCCTAACCAGGCCTTTGCAAAGCCCCCTGGCGCGTGCTCAGGACGGGGAGCGGGGAACCGGGGAGCCGGGAACGGGGCTCTCCGCGGGGACCTCCGTCTCTCACGTGTCCTTGTCGGACCCACAGAGGCCCCTCCTACCTGCTCAACCGCACCGAGTGGGACGCGATGTGCGAGGAGCCGCCGCACGCGATCCTCTGGCACGTGACGCTCTTCTCGCTGCTGGTGGTCGCCTCGTGCCTGGAGGTTGTGCTGTGCGGGGTGCAGGTGGTGAACGCGGCCATCGGGGTCCTCTGCGGCGACTGCAGGAAGAAGGTGGGTCCGCGTGCCCCGGAGCAAGTTTAGAGGGAATCTCCTTGCTCCCCGGCTGGGCTGCGTTCTCACGTCCTCTTCCCCGCAGGGCACCCCGCAATGAGGCTCCACTGACCACGCTGCTCTGCTCGCCGCCGCCGGACGCCCACCCGACCCACCCACCCCGCCTGGAAATAAACCGCTTTGAGCTCTCTTGCGCCTCTCAGATTGTGCCCTGTGTGAGGAGTTGTCCGACCAAAGTTTGTGGCTCTCCTGTCTGGGGCCCATGCACTCAGCTTATTTTCTTTTCTTTTTTTTTTTTTAATTGATTATGGTATCATATAATTGTCCTCATCCCCCCATTCCCATCCCAAACCCCTCCCCACACCCCCCTGTTGTCCATGGCCACTGGCTAGGCCCATATGCATGCACACAAGTCCTTTGGTTGATCTCTCCCCTTACCCTCACCCTCCCCTACTTTCCCTCTGAGATTTGAGAGTCTGATCGCTGTTTCTCTTTCTCTGGGTCTGTTTTTGTTCATCAGTCTATGTTGTTCATCATTTCCTCTAGATGTGTGAGATCATGTGATCCAAGAAATACCCTTGTAAGAACCTAAACTGCGACAAGCCATAATGGTTATGCTGAGAGGCAAATGAATCAGTCTGTAGACCCCGCTTATTTTCTTAGCAAATAGTGATATTTTTAAGCAAGAGTTTACATTTTTTTATTTATTTATCATTGTTAATTGATTTTAGAGAGTGGAAGGGGAAGAGAAAGAGAAAGATTGGTGCCAAAGAGAAACATCACCAACTGGTTGCCTCAAACCAAGATGCACCTGCCGTCTGGGTGTGTGCCCCAACCCGGAAGGAACCATCTCTTAGCGCACCTGTCAGGCTCCAACCAACTGAGCCAGGCGGGCCAGGGCAGCACACAGTTACTGAGCCATTAGTGTGCACCGGAAGTACCGCAGTTAACAAGGCAGGCAGGTTCTGCGCTCTCGATTTAGCATTCCAGGGTGGAAAGTTGGCAGTTTTTAAAAGAAGCAAAAGATCAGCTCACGATAAGCACTTTTACAGAACTCGTTGAGACCTGGCCAGTGTGGCTCAGTTGGCTGGAGCATAGTCCTGTACACCCAAAGGTTGCCTGTTGATTTGATTCTGGGTCAGGGCACATACCTAGGTTTTGGGCTCGATCCTGGTGGGGACTTATACTAGAGGCAGGTAACCAACCTATCTCTCTCTCTCTCTCTCTTTCTCTCTCTTTCACCCTTCCTCCCTCCCTCCCCCTCCCCTTCTCTAAAATCAGTAAAAAAAAAAAAAAAAAAAAATCCTCTGGTAAAGATTAAAAAATAACAACACGTTGACAATGGGATACCTATACACCCTGAGAAAGTGAAATTGGAGCTGAAATCTGCTTATGGGCTAACTGCCTGGACAGCTGAGGGATTTCAGGCAGAGAGAACATCCAGGGCAAAGACCCAAAATGGGAATCAGTATACGGAAAAGCCACCGTTTGGGGGGAAGGGGAGCAGGGGACAACGAAGGAAAAGACACATTCACCAATCAAGCTCTAGAAAATGAAGCCTGAAGGTGTGGGAACATGTCACCTCCTAGTTCGGTAGAAGTTTCTGGATCTGAAATCATTGGTGGCTCAGAAAGGAAATAACCTGAGCGTTTAGTGGGCGTGATGTGTATGTAGACTCCTTCAGGAAGCCAGGCGCTTCCTTCCCTTGTACACAAAATTGTACTTAAGTGCCTTTTTTAAGTAAGGTGACCAGACATCCCGCTTTTGGCGGGACAGTCCCGATTTCTAACCATGTTCCGCGTCCTGTGGCGTTTTTGAAAAGTCTTGATTTTTGGAAAGATTCTTTTAAATCTTTTGGACTTTTTTTTTTTTTAAATATATTTTATTGATTTTTTACAGAGAGGAGGAGAGCCGAAACCGGTTTGGCTCAATGGATAGAGCATCGGCTTGGGGACTGAAGGGCCCCGGGTTCCATTCCGGTCAAGGGCATATACCTTGGTTGCGGTCATATCCCCAGTAGGGGGTGTGCAAGAGGCAGCTGATCGATGACTCTCATCGATGTTTCTAGCTCTCTAGCTCTCTCCCTTCCTCTCTGTACAAAATCAATAAAATATATTTTAAAAAAAGAGAGAGAGAGAGGAGGAGAGAGGGATAGAGCTGGAAACGTTGATGAGAGAGAAACATCGACCAGCTGCCTCTTGCACACCCCCTACCGGGGACGTGCCCACAACCAATGTACATGCCCTTGACCGGAATCGAACCTGGGACCTTTCAGTCCGCAGACCGACGCTCTACCACTGAGCCAAACCAGTTTCGGCTCTTTTGGACTTTTTTAAAACGCCACGGGACGCGGGACAAATTGCTAGAAATCGGGACTGTCCCGCCAAAAGCGGGACGTCTGGTCACCTTACTATAAGTCCGGAACTTTGAGTAGCCAGCCATGGACCCCTGAGCCAAACCTGAGCTTCATCCCGGCCCATGCTAGGCTAGGAGACAGGGCGATGCAGGTTCCTGTGCCTAAGACAAATGACACCAAAGCCAGGGCGGGGAAGCTTTAATGCGGAATATGGGACAGCCGAGGTGGGGCCGGGAGAGGGCCCACGGGGATCAGCTGCTGCAGCAGAAAAAGCGCACGTCGTTAAGGGCGGTATCGTCCAGGAGGCCTCTAGACGCCTGGACCTTGGTCTGCGCACCACAGATGCCTTTGGGACACGCCTCACTCCACTTCCCAAAGTCTCCCCAGGCCAGGCCAGGCCCCTCCAGCTCCGTGCCGTCGGAGCAGCGGAAGCGCACGTTGTTCGCGCCCGTGTTGTCCCCCAGGGTCTTGGGTGCCTCCACTCGGAGTGAGAAAGCCACGAGGAAGCCGCCGCGGGGACACCACTGCGGCTCGCTCCACGCGCCCCACCTGCGAGGGAAGGGAAGACTCGCTGGCTGTGGGGGCGCCCTTCACCCACCTCCAGCCCGACCCAGCCCCGGGGGCACTTCCCAAGCCTGGGGCTAGTCACCAGACATCCACCGAGGTGCAGAGGGGAGTTCTAAAGTGTGGCAGCTGAGGAGTTCCCTGCCGGCTGGGAGGGGGTGTGTGTAACAGGGGATAAGGGCCACACCCCACCCTAGGGGGTCACAGACCCCTGCCCCTCACCTTCCAGACTCGGACTCCACTGTGCGCCCATGGGAGCAGTACAGCCGAATCCCGTTCATGGCCGTGTCGTCTCCAGGAATGCCTTGTGGGGCCTCCACCTGGCGCGAGAAGAGGGGTGAAGATGAGTCAGACTACCAGTCACTATTTTATTTTATTTTTTACAAATAAATGTTGAATGCATTCTTTTTCGTTTTTATTACTGGAATTGGTCGGCATCTTTTATTAAAAAAAAAAAAAAAGCCACACATATTTGTATGGATTTCAGAGAGGAAGGGAGAGAGAGACAGAAACATCAATGATGAAAGAGAATCATTGATCGGCTGCCTCTTGCACGCCCTCTACTGGGGATGGAGCCCGCAACCCCCGCAGGTGCCCTTGGACCCGAGGAATCTAACGGGGACCCTTCAGACCGCTGGCTAAAGCTCTATCCACTGAGCCAAACCTTTGAGACCCAGATCTGAGCCCTCACCTTGATGGAGAACCCGATGGTGAAAAGTCCGTCGGGACACATCTCGGGCCAGGCCCAGTCGCCCCAGGGACCCCCGTTGGTCACCGTGATGGTGTAGCGGCTGGAACCAACCGCGCGGGCATGCCAGCAGCACGCCGCCCACAGCAGCAGCAGCAGCAGCAGCCTGGCTCCCGCGCCCCGCTCCATGCTGCAGCCTCTGTGAGCCAGGGCCCCGGAAGCAGGTTTATACCACCTCTGCTTAGCGGGATCCGATTGCGGAAGCGACACCAAAAAGTAGTCGGATCCCAGAACCCCGCAGACCTGCTTTGCTGCTCGGGGAGAACAGTGCTCCCAGTGCCAGAGGAGGAGGGGCATCAGGAGCAGACAAGTTGGAATCACCACCATCTACTGAACTTTTTTTTTTTTTTAACAATTCTTTTAAAAATATATATTTTATTAATTTTTTTTACATAGGGGAAGAGAGAGGGATAGAGAGTTAGAAACATCAATGAGAGAGAATCATCCATCAGCTGCCTCCAGCACACCTCCCACTGGGGATGTGCCCTGGACCGGATCGAACCAGGGACCTTTCAGTCCGCAGGCCGCCGTTCTATCCACTGAGCCAAACCGGTTTCGGCTCTACTGCACTTTTACTGCAGGCCAGGAACTGTGGTTAGCGTCTAGCAGGCATGTTCTATTTAACCCTCACAATTTTAGGAGGTGGGAATAAACCTTCCTAGTATGTAGATTAGGGAACTGGGGCTTAGAAATGGCAAGCAACTTGCCTAAGGTCACCGTCAGCCAAGCTGAGAAACACTTTAACCCTGGGAAGTGGGAAGCCCAAGGCTAGGGATGGAAGTGAAGGCTCCTGAGTCCCACGGGACAGGATTGGTCAGCAGCAAATGCCAGGACCTCCATGACTCAAGGGAGCATCAGCGTGAGAGCTAGGGCAAGAACCCATGAACTGTGGGAGCTAGGAGGAGTCTTTGTAGAGATTGGGGTCCTCACTTCTTGAGAATCTGGGGTACTCTCCCTCACCCTAAGAAGAAAATATACACAGAGACAGGGACAATTCTAAGAAGTTTATGGACTGCAGGCTAAGAACAGATGTTGTTTATTTGATTGCATCCTGTATCCTTTCTCTGAATGTACCCCCTCCAAGGCCACTAGGTGGACTCCTAATTTGCAAAAATCAAAACCAAGTCCCTCACCCCCAAAACACATGCAAATTTGTCATCTGGGTACTACCCTTGATTTGCCTGCCCTTAATACACATTTCTTTGTTTATTAACATACTAGAGGCCCAGTGCACAAAATTCGTACACTGTGAGGGTCCCTAGTGGCTGCTGGCTGGTGAGGGCTGGGTGTCTCCCTCCCTTCCCCTGCCTGGCCCTGTCACCTGACTGAACTCCCTACGAACTTCCAGTTAAGGGGACAATTTGCATACTACGCCTTAATGATATAGGATACGTGTGTTGCAATAATGTACTTTGGCCCAGATAATATTCTAAATTCTGCAAATAGAGCTGTAACCAAGTAAAACAAGATTCATCAGAGCTCACATTCCAGTGGAGGAAACAGATAATAAAGTCTCCCGTGGACCTTGAGCTCTATGAAGGCTCAGTTTATTTGTCTTCTTGAAGCCTAATCAGGGCCTGGCATGTGGAAGTACTTAATAAAGGCTTGTTTGATAAATAATAGAGAACCAACCTGGAGTTGGGAGAAGGACTGGGTAAGAGCTGGTGAGGGCATGGTGGCTAAAGCCCAAAGTAAACAATCAGGAGATCAAGCGTCTAGATCCAGACCAGGTCCCCTGGGGATAGACTAGAGAACTTAGAAGTGGGTGTCCTGTGCTTGAACTTTATAGGTAAGATTTATGGAGCAATTGTGGTCAGCTGTCCCATTCACAGTGTTTACACGTACATTATCATTTAATCCTGGCAAAGTACCTATTATTATCCTCAATTTGCAGTGGAAGGAATTCAAGTCTAGAGTTATCTTAGGACCCACGTGATTGCTCAGTGTGGGAGCTGGTTCTGACCTCGCCAGCCTCCCTTCCGGATACCCAGGCTGCCTCTTCCTACAACCTGATCCTAGAAGGAAGGGAAATACAGAGACCTGTCACGGCCACGGAACTTCCCAAATCCTCTTAATCTGATTTCTCACCCCTGAGGTGCTGCCCTCTGGGGCAAAGGACACAGGGTAAGGGGCCTTCGGTTAATGATTAACCCTTGCACCTCAGGGCACCGCGGGCTTCTCTTCCTTCTCGGAGGCGGAGGGATAAGGCCTGGGTGGGAGCAGGCGAGGGGTGGTGGTCCCGGCAGCATCCATGGGGGTCGTGCCGCTTCCACAGGTCTCCAGGCGCTGGCTCCGCTATACAATTGCTCTTGCCATTTTCGCGCTGCTGCTTTTGTATCTCTATCACCGGAGCCAGCGTGAGTGGCCTCTTCCCCCACCTCCTCTGGCAGGGACCCAGGAAACCAGGTCCAGGGCACCTAAGGCCCCTCTTGGAGTCCTCACCGCCCCGCCTTGTCTCTCCCCAGGCGGCCTCTCGGGCTGCGGATCCGGGGCCCAGCCCTGCGTTTCGGAGGGACCCCCACCTTCTCAGGTACGCTGCTCGCTTGGGGCAGGGCTGGGACCGGGAGCCCCAAGTAGGACCCTGAACCGGGGGAAGGTGGAGCCAGGCTGGCTGACTCCCTGCCGAAAAGCGGGTCCTCCTTCCTGTACCCCCTCCCCCTGACAGAAGCGGAGCGCACAGCAGGAGGGACACCGGCTAGACCTTAGAGGTGACTTCCTCAGAGCCCCACTGGGCTGCTTGGCGAAGGATGCCTAACAGGCTAGGGGTTCTGCTCCCGCCCCTCTTCCTCCTCCTCATATCTACTCCCCCCAGATCCTGCAACAGTGGGGAGCCCTGGAGGCCCCGGAGCGGGGAGAGCCTCCGTGCCTGGGCCCCCGGGGGATGCTGGGCCGCCTGGTGAGGCCGTTCCGCGCCAGCCTAAGCCTGGACGGGGATGTGGAGCTGTCGCAGTACCTGGCCGGATGGAGGGAGCTGATCAAGTGAGTGGTCCCCCTCCCCTAAACCCAGTCCCCCGCCCCCCGTGGCTCCATCGCCCTCTCTCTCTCTCTCTCTCTCTCTCTCTCTCTCTCTCTCTCTCTCTAACCAGCCCACTCTCCCCACCACCAAACCACACAGATTCCTAACTCCCTTCGGCTCCATCTTCACCTTCGCCACCAGCGAGGCCTTCACCAAAGTGACCGCCCTGGAGGCTCGCGTGCACGGCCCGGAGGCCGCGCACTACAAGACGCTGGTGACCATGGCCGCGTGGGAGCGGCGGGCGGGGCGGCTGGAGAGGCCCGGGGCCGCCCCCCCGGACTCGGCCAGGTCCTCGGGCTCCCGAACGGCGCTGCTGCTGCACCGCGCGCTGCGCTGGTCCCAGCTCTGCCTCCGGCGGGTGGCCACCGGGGCGCACCGCGGCCCGAGCGCCGGCGAGCAGTGCAGCGACGCCTACAGCGCCGTCCTGGGCCCGCACCACCCCTGGCTGGTGCGCCAGGCCGCCCGCCTCGCCTTCCTCTCGTTCCCGGGCCGCGGCCGCCTGCTGGAGCTGGCCTGCCCGCGGACCACGGAGGCGGAGGCGCGGGCCGCGTTGGCTCGCGCGGCGGCCACCCTGGAAGAGGTCTACAACCGGACGCAGGGTTTGCTGGCCGAGCGCGGCCTGCTGCAGCTGGCCTAAGGGACCGGCTGGGGCAGAGCGGGCCCTGGGGCGGGATCCGCGCAGCACTTGGCTCCCGGTCCAGGCCCCTGGAGCTCAGCTGCCTGGGCGGGACGCCTGATGTCCCGCCTCTTCGGTGAGGTCACTCCCGTGCAGGCGCGCCCCGGGTTGGGTGGGATTTTTTATCTCCTCCCCGTCGCTATCTCAGCCACTCCTAGGGCCGGCCTTGTCAACTGCCTGCCGAGTCTCCAGCCCCTATAAAGCCAGATATTTCCTAGATGCCCGCACGTGCAACACGTCCGTCTGGGATCCAATCGCCTCCTCCCAGGACTTCACCTCCTGTGTTCCTTGTCTCCATGAAGAAACGGCACCCTTTCCTGTCAACCTCCCAAGTCTAAAACCTCACGCCAGGCAGAAGCTCAGCGCAATATACATCTTTATTAAATGGCTTCAGCTGCTCCCACAATGAGAGTGAACATTTCATACGCTGATAACTCCCAAATGACAACTCCAACCCAGTTTACCCTGGATGCCAGAATCCTATTTATACACCTCCTTATTCGACATCTCCGTTTGGATTCCAACTACACATAGCAAACTTAGATGCCTAAAACTATGCTAATTCCCTCTCCTCCCAAAGTACCCTCTTTTAGCCTTTGCTGTCTCAGTAAATGACAATTCCATTCTTCCAGGCCCTTAAACCAAAAACCTTGTAGTCATCCTGACTCTCTGTTTCTTGTTCTCTGTACCCACATTCAATTTGTCAGAACCTGACTACTTTCCACTTTCTTCACTGCTTGTCAAGCCAATTTTATTACCTCTATTGTTGCAATTGTCTCCTAATTGTCGCTCTGTTCCATACTATATCTCCCTATAATATATGTTCAATAGAGCAGCCAAAATGATTATTTAAAATGTAGTTCACATCATGTCACTTCCCTGCTCAAAACCTTCCAGTGGCTTCCTATTGCACTCCAACTAAAAAAATTAATTTAGTCCTAGTTGGTCTGGCTCAGTGGATAGGGAGTCAGTCAAAGCAGCCTGAAGGGTCCCAGATTTGATTTAGGTCAAGAGCACATGCCCAGGTTACCGGTTCAAACTCTGGTAGGGGGCGTGCAAGAATCAGCTGATCAATGATTCTCTCTCATCATTGGTGTTTCTTTCTCTCCCTCTCCCTTCCTCTCTGAAATCGGTAAAAATATATTTTTTAAAAATTAATTTAATCGGGAAATTTTCCGTATCATGTTTTCAGTTTTGAGAATGATAAAAAGCTTTGTAAACATCCTACCTGATCTGAATCTGCATTAGCCAACTTGGCCTCAATATTCACTGGACATGTCAGTTTTGATCCTGTCTCAGAACCTTTGCACTTGCTCTCCCCTCTGTCCATACTGTTTTCCCCCCCAAATAGACAAATGTCTTCCCTCCTTACTTCCTTCTGATCTTTATTCAAATGTCTCCTCAGTGAGATCTTCCTGATTATTCTAAAATGCCAACACACACACACAACTTCCTAACTTCCTTGCTTTATTTTTATTCTTATTCAATTCGCTCTTTAACATACTGTATATTGTAACTATTTTTTGTTGTCTCCCCCAATGTATATAAGCTCCATGGGGCTAGAAATTTCTGTCTATTTTGTCCCCTGAAGTACCTTCGGTGCCTCACACAGTGCCTGGTACCTAGTAAACACAATGGTTTCTTGTGGAATGAATGTATGAGCACTAAAAATAGTTCAGGTGGCTGGAGCCAAGAGAGTCGAAAAGAAAAGGAGAGGGTTCCACAACAATGTGAATGTACATTACTAGATTGTACACCAAAAATGGTTAAAATACTATCTTTTATGTTGTTATTTATATTTTACTACAATAAAAAAATTTTTTAAAGTACCCTGGCTGGTGTGGCTCAGTGGTTGAGTGTTGACCTATGAATTAGGAGGTCATGGCTCAATTCTGGGCGCATGCCTGGGTTTCAAGCTTGATCCTCAATGATTCTCTCTCATCACTGATGTTTCTATTTCTCCCTCTCCCTTTCTCTCTCTGAAATTAATAAAAACATATTTTTAAAAGTATATAAAAAAAAGGATTGACCATGAATGCATAGATAAGAGAACAAATTGATCATCTCTCTCTCCCGACTGCCTCCCACTCTCTTTCCCTTCCTCTCTCAAATCAATAAATAAAAATTAAAAAGAAAAAAAGTTATTTGAAAATATTAAGAAAATTAACAAAACTTTAGCTAGACTGCTGAAACCGGTTTGGCTCAGTGGTAGAGCATCGGTCTGTGGACTGAAAGGTCCCAGGTTCGATTCCGGTCAAGGGCATGTACGTTGGTTGCAAGCACATCTCCGGTGGGGGTGTGCAGGAGACGGCTGGTCGATGTTTCTCTATCATCGATGTTTCTGGCTCTCTATCTCTCTCCCTTCCTCTCTGTAAAAAAATCAATAAAATATACTTTAAAAAAAAAACTTTAGCTAGACTGACAAATAAAAAAAAGAGGGAAGACAAATTATTAAAATCAATAATGAAAGAACATTACTACAAATTTTACAGAAATAAAAGGGATTATAAGGGAATACTATAAATCATTGTAGACTAATAAATTAGATAACCTAACAGAAATGGACAAATTCATAGAAAGACATAAAGTACCAAAATGGACTGAAAAATAAATAGAGCCCTAGCCAGTTTGACTCAGTGGATAGGGTGTCAGCCTGCGGATTGAAGGGACCCAGGTTTTATTCTGGTCAAGGGCACATGCCTGGATTTCGGACTTGATCCCCAGTAGGGGGCATGCTGGAGGCAGCTGATCAATGATTCTCTCTCATCATTGATATTTTTCTCTCTCCCTCTTCCTTTCTATCTGAAATCAATAAAAAAACTAATAAAGAGTGAGAATGCATTAATAAAAAAAAGTAAATAGAAACTCTGACTAGTCCTATAACAAAGAAATTGAATTAGTAATAAAAATTTCCTACAGCCCTAGCTGGGTTGGCTCGGTGGATAGAGCGTTGGGTCCCAGGTTCGATTCTGGTCAAGGGCACATGCCCTGGTTGTGGGCTCGATCCCCAGTGCGGGGTATGCAGGAGGCAGCTAGTCAATGATTCTCTCTTGTCATTGATGTTTCTATCTTTCTCTCCCTCTCCTTTCCTCTCTGAAAACAATAAAGAAATATATATATATATATATATATATATATATTTTTTTTTTTTTTTAAGTGAAAAGATAACCCATAGAATTGGAGAAAATACTTGCAGATCATGTATCTGATATAGGACTAGCATCTACAATATCAAAAACACTCTTACAAACTCAACAAAAGATAACCCAATTTTAGCCCTGACCGGTTTAGCTTAGTGGATAGAGCGTTGGCCTGCAAACTCAAGGGTCCAGGGTCCGATTTTGGTCAAGGGCACATACCTGGGTTGTGGGCACATTCCCAGTGGGGAGTGTGCAGGAGGCAGCTGATTGATGTTTCTCTCTCATCGATGTTTCTAACTCTCTATCCCTCTCTCTTCTTCTCTGTAAAAAAAATCAATAAAATATAGTATTAAAAAAAAAATAACCCAATTTTAAATGGGCAAAGGACTTCTTCAATAGACATTCCTCCAAAGAAGATAAATAGACAATTAGTATATGAAAATAGGCTCAACATCACTAATCATTAGGGAAATACAAAAACAACAACACCCCACAAGATACCAATTCACACCATCTAGGATGGCTAAAGTAAAAACACACAATAACAATTAGTGAGGATGTAGAGAAATTGGAACCCTGTTATGTGGCTAGTGGGGATGTAAAGTGGGACAGCTGCCTTAACCGGTTTGGCTCAGTGGATAAAGCCTCGGCCTGCGGATTGAAGGGTCCCAGGTTTGAATCCAGTCAAGGGCAGGTACTTTGGTTGCAGGCACATCACCAATGGAGGGATGTGCAGGGGGTAGCTGATTGATGTTTCTCTTTCATCTATGTTTCTCTCTTTCACTCTCCCTTCCTCTCTGTAAAAAAATCAAATAAAAAAATGGGACAGCTATTATGAAAAAAACAATTGTCAGTTCCTCAGAATGTTAAACAGTTAGCAATTCCACGCCTGGTTCTGTATATACTGCTAGGTATATACATACCTAAAAGAAATGAAAACATAGTGTGCTGTCTGGAAGTCAGAGGCTCAAGTCTGTCTTGAAGACTTTTTTATTTTATTTTATTGATTTTTTACAGAGAGGAAGGGAGAGAGATACAGAGTTAGAAACATCGATGAGAGAGAGTCATCGATCAGCTGCCTCCTGCACACCCCCTATTGGGGATATGCCCGCAACCAAGGTACATGCCCTTGACCGGAATCGAACCCGGGACCCTTCAGTCCCCAAGCCGACGCTCTATCCATTGAGCCAAACCTGTCCCGGCAAGACTTTTTTTTTTATAGAGCAGCTCATTTATTTGTAACAGGAGATAATTATGACCAATATAGTTCTCAAAAGAGGATTGGTAATTTAAAGCGATAGTTTTTAAACTGAAGTCACAATCATATTAATGTAATATGTTCATTAACCAAACATCCTTCCTGATATCTTGAAGACTTTTTGAATTGCAATTCCAATCAGATATCAGTACTGCACAATCCAATCGGAAGTATAGCTTTGCAGACTGTTTTTTGTTTTTGTTTTTTTTGTGTGTGTTTTTTTTTGGGGGGGAGGGGGGAAGGAGGATTTTTGTTTGCCTACTTTGCCACGCTGCCATCAAGCATTCACTGTCGCAAAAAAAAAAAAAAAAAAGCCCTACACATTTCCCTTCTGCCGTCAACCGCGGCCCCGCTGCGCTCCCAGAAGGCCTCAGAGCACGACAGACGGGAGTGACAGCGCGCTTTACGACAGTTGCTTTGCGGCAGCACCAGAGGAGAAAGATGGCGGCCACCTTAGTAGCAAGAGGAGCGGGTCCCGCACCCGCCTGGGGGCCGGAGGCCATTACCCCCGACTGGGAAAACCGGGAAGTCTCCACAGGGGTGAGGAGGGACTCGGGGTTCAG